ATCCATCCTTTGTTTCAGGCTATTGGAGTTTATCTGGGTCTTCTTTTCTATTCTCTTTGTTTGAAAAGCATGTCCTCCTCTAGCATGCCATGAGAATTTTATATTTAATTTATTTTTAATTTTCAAAGTTGTAGCTGAATAAAATTTAATACCCTTCCTGAACTTCAAGGTCCACAACACTGGATATGTTCGTGACCCCAGGCTTTCTTTTCTGTTCTGTCATATTAAATACTTCAGAAGCCATTAAGTGTGAATGGGCTGAATAAAAGGTAGTGAAGAAAGGAGAAGTCTATGAAAGATTTGAGAGCTTCTGACCTACCTGAAATTATTTACATTAAAAAATAAGTTGTGGTGGGGTAAACAGTGGCACCAAGGTAAAATGTGATGTTGTGTGACACTGACCCACATGGCAAGGTTCTGTGTTCATGTCAAGACTTCCTTGACTACCCTGGTTATATGTGGGCCTATGATCCAGAGCTGGATGACTGAAGCAGGGCATGGATCACGGTGCCAAAACCCTGTTGAGAATGTTGTCTCTCTGTCTCCCTGTGTTTCTGACTCCATATATGGAATAAAAAAATAAATAAACTTTTTTTTTAAAGAGAATTAGACATTGTTTGATCTAGTTGGTGGCGTGGTGGTTAAGCCTGCTGGTCCCACACGACCAACTGTGTATTTGAGAACATCTCTCCTGGGGGATGTTTTCTCACTTTCTCTTTCTCTCTCTCTGTGTCTCTCTCTGCCTCTCTTGCTAATAGATATGCCCGTCAGGAAAAAAAAGAAAAAGAAAATCAGACACTGTGATAACCAAGCAGAATACAGTATGTGGTGGGAATTCACCTTATGACTGCCTGTATGTGACCTCTATAATAGTCTTATACTGGGTCTGAGATGGGTTACACTGAATCTTAGATCCATATTTGAATATGAATGGTCTTTATCAATATCTGAGACTGTATGTTCTCCAAGCCTGTACCAGATGTGGAACAGGGTCCAAAGAGTTAAAGCTATCACTATATGTCAGAAATTTCTCTGTGCATTTCCTTAGGAGAATCCCTTAATCACAGATGTCAATAAAACAGTCATTTTTTTCCCAAGGGACTATGTGTCTTTTGATTCTCAGGAGTAAGTGCGCATGCTAAAAAATATTATGAGAATATAAATAAAGATGTGGATTCCCAACAGGGTGCCAGAACAGAGAAGCTGCAGAACTACAGAATTTAGAGTCTCTGCATCTTCAGTCTGGAATAAGGCAGCCAGCAGCCTGGTAGGTGTCATGGACACTCACATTAAATTCCCTTAGGCTAATTTTATGTTTTCTAATAATGACACTGCAATTTATAGAGATTACTCTGTCTTTCAAGGTGCTACAGGTAAAAAGGCTTCATGATTTGTTCAACCTAAGGAACTAAACTACTTTTGGGTCAAAGTTTATGGCTGAAAAGATTATGGGCCATGTATGGGATGGCATACTCATTTGTAGCTGAATGATAAATACAGTAAAAAAAAAATATATCATTAACAGTAACTCGTTTGTTCAGTTAACTGAGTTAGACTGAGAGCTTGTTAAGAAAGACCTGAGGGGGACCAGCAGTTAGCATAATGGTTATGTCACTGGACTCTCATGTAGTCAACTGCGGTTTGAGTCCCGGACCTGGTGGCTTAAACTCACACCGGTCACATGTGCATGCGTGCTCAAGATCCCAAGAGGAGAATGGAGGAGAAGGGATTGCGGCATGACCATCCCCCCTGGGGGGGTGATTTCTCTTTTTCTATCTCTCTGTGTCTCTCTTTCTGGAGAGTGCACATGCCGTATAGCAAAAACCTCTCCCCCCCAACAAAAAATAATACAATTTAAAAAAAGAAATACCTGAGGCAAGGAACCTTGAAAATGATCCAGTTTGAGGGAATTCATTGAACAGAGATGGAAGATGTATTACCACTTTTCTCGCCCTGCCTGAATCCCACTCTTTTGCCAAGGGAAGACTTTCACCTGTACTGTTGGAAGATTTTGGTCCAGAGCTCTGAAAAAGTAAGTTGCTGAAAATGTCAAGGATGCCTTGCAGCTGGGTTATGAGCAAGAATAAATCCAGAAACAAAACAAGTGATGAGAATCTGAATTGGACACTACTAGGAAGGTTAGACACAGAGGAGCCAAAAGTACTGGAAAAGGAACCAACAAACAGGGAGAGGGAGCAAGAGCTATTGCCATTATGAGCAGGGCCGGCCAGGAACTGCAAGAAAGGCTACGAGTGCTTTAAGCACATACAAATGGTAACCATGCGTCATGGTGCATGGTGCACATCAGGGAGGCATTTACCACATCTGAGAGGCTGAGACAGTACAGGTGCTCAGTTTTATGAAGGGAAGTATGTTCTCATTTAGCCTTATCACTTCTCCATGTGACATGTCCATACCCACCATGTAACCTCCTTCACAGCTCCTAACTTCAGACAATTTTGGGCAAAGAATTTTTCAAAATATTGACAGCAGTGAGAAAACTTAGCTACTGTTTTCTCTCCACTGTTTGCCTCTCTACTGTCTTCTATCTAGATTCAACCTTCTTTTTTCACCTTCTCCAAGAAATGCTGAGACTCCCTGTAAAAGGTCAAATGCTCATGCATCGCCATCCCCTCCTCACCATTTTTTTTTGCTGATGGGAACGGCTAAGTAATGAAAGGTGGTGTCAGAGGCACTGTCATTCCTCTAGGCCCTCAGAGCTGCCATGCTCACTTGCATTGCCCTGCCTCTGTCAACTGTCAAGATTTGATGACAAATGGGGTTCGTGTTGGAGATCGTTGAAGATGTGAAGCTTTTTTTGTAAAAAAAAAATAATACTTCTATTGTAATTTAATATTTACACATAATAGTTATACATACTTGTGGGGTACATTGTGGTTTTACAAAACAGATATTCGATGTGAATTGGTCAAGTCAGGGTAAAAGCATCCAGCATCTCCAACATTTATCATGACTTTATGTTGTGCATATTTGAAATCTACTTTCTGGCTATTTGCAAGATAGAATTGTCATCAACTTTCTTTACTTTAACATGCTATTCTTTAATCCATTCAGCTACCTACATGCACATTTGTATTTGCTAAACAAGTTCTCCTCATCCAGCTCTCCACTTTCCAACTTCTTTTATTTATTTTTTTCTTTTTTTGGAGAGGATTTTGCTATAGGGCATATGTACTTGCCAGACAGACAAAGACAGAGAGACAGAAAGCTAGGAATCACCCCCCAGGGGGGATGGCCACGCTGTAATCCCCTCTTCTCCATTCTCCTCTTGGGATCTTGGGCACGCATGCACACGTGCCCAGCGTGGGTTCAAGTCACCAGGTTCAGGACTCGAACCGTGGTCGACTACGTGGGAGTCCAGTGACATAGCCATTATGCTAACTGCTCGTTCCTCCACTTCCCAACTTCTAGTATTCACCATTGCACTCTCTACTTCTATGCAATTGAATCTTCTAGCTTTTACTAATGCGTGTTTGATGGTTATATAGAGTGGTGTTATGACATGCAAGAGATGAGAATTTAAAGACTACGGAAAAGTATAGAGAATAATACCTGTACTTGTACAATTCTTGTGGACAAATTTAAGCATTTATATATTTGCTTTCTGTGCTTTTTTTGTCCTAGAGAAAACATTTACTCTTAAATTTGAAGTTCCTTTTGATCCATACTCCACTCCCACTGTAGTCATTCATACTATGATTGTGTGTGTGTGTGTGTGTGTGTGTGTGTGTTTGCTCACATACTTTTCTAGTCTGGAGGTTAATCAACTCTTCCTGTGTCAAGAAAGTTAACATTTTATAATTTTCAAGCACACACAATCTCTATGGCATACACTTTTTTTTTCTCCTTTAAAAATATTTGAAAAACCTGGGACCAGCAGTTGGCGTAAAGGCTATGTCGTTGGACTCCCATGTAGTTGACTGTGGTTTGAGTCCTGGACCCCGTGGCTAACACTCATGCTGGGTGCATGTGTGTGTGTTTCCAAGACCCTGAGAGGAGAATGGAGGAGAAAGGATTGTGGCATGGCCATCTCCCCTGGGGGGTGATTTCTCGCTTTCTGTCTCTCTGTCTCTCTCTGTATTTCTGATATGTGCACATGCCCTATAGCAAAAACCTCTCAAAAAAAAAAAATGAAAAACCTATAGATTGTACCAAAACAGACTGAGGGCCAAAATAGATTCTATGCTGCAGTTTAACAACCTATGTGATAGCTCAAATTTATGTTTTCACACACATGTACTGAGAATGATAATATAAAATTTAGTTCTTTTTTAACTCGTGCTACTATGATATCTCTGGGTTATGTGATGCATAATTATTGTTCACATCCATGACATTAGAGCTCTTTCAGACTGTAATATATTCCATTTAGTTTACCTGATGTATAAATTTCAAAATATGGTGGTTAAAAAAAAACTGGGGATAAAGTAGAAGGAGAGTGGGAGGGAGGAAGAATGTAGGGAAGGAAATTTGGGAGGAAAAAATTGAGAGGTAAGACATTTGTGGGACACAGAAATGGTTTATTACCTGTTGATGATAACATGTATAGTATTCTCAGCTGGACTGGTCTGAGGTATATTTCATGCTGGGTAAATTGTCTTTACAATTTAAATGATGTACAGTAATTAAATCTATAAACAATAATAACAAAAAAATTAAAGAAAAGTAGTAAAACACATTGTTACCTCCTTGTTATGGAGTTATTTAGAAATATATCAGAAAATAAGGATAGATTTGAAGAATTATATAAATATATATAAATTATATATTTCTTTTATGAGTACTACAAAGAACTTAGTTAAATGAACTCTACATTTTTTTATATATGTAAAAATTTACATTATATTTTTGGCACCTAAGATTGAGTTATATTCAATTTATTCAACAACGGAAAGTAGTAGTATTCAGCAAATACAACTGAGATTATTTCTGTCTGTTGTTACTTTAGACCCAGGAGCAGATGAATGAGAGACCTGTTTATGATGTTTCTTCCCAATACCTCAGAAGTTGAAATTTCTACATTCCTATTGATTGGGATTCCAGGGCTCGAGCGTGTGCACATTTGGATCTCCATCCCCATCTGCCTCATGTACCTTGTGGCCATTCTGGGCAACTGCACCATCCTATTTGTTATCAGATCAGAATCTTCCCTCCATGAGCCCATGTACTATTTTCTTTCTATGTTGGCCCTATCTGACTTGGGCCTGTCTTTCTCCTCCCTCCCCACTATGCTAAGGATTTTCTTATTCAACATCATGGGGATTTCTGCTGATGCATGCATTGCCCAGGAATTTTTCATTCATGGATTCACAGATATGGAGTCTTCAGTGCTCTTGATCATGTCTTTTGATCGTTTGATAGCTATCCGCAACCCCCTGAGATACAATGCCATCCTAACCAGCACCAGAGTTGTGCAAATTGGACTGGCATTTGCTATTAAAAGCATTCTCCTAGTACTTCCTCTTCCTTTTACTTTAAAGAGACTCAGATACTGTAATAAACGCCTATTATCCCACTCCTACTGCTTCCACCAGGATATCATGAAGTTAGCCTGTTCTGACAACAGGGTTAATTTTTACTACGGTCTGTTTGTTGCACTTTGCATGATGTCAGACAGTGTGTTCATTGCCATTTCCTATGTGTTCATCTTGAAGACTGTATTGGGTATTGCATCCCATGGGGAGAGGCTCAAAGCTCTGAATACATGTGTTTCTCACATCTGTGCCGTGCTCATCTTCTATGTGCCCATCATCACATTGGCCACCATGCATCGCTTTGGCAAGCATAAATCCCCTTTAGCTATGATTCTGATAGCAGATGCATTCTTGCTGGTACCACCCCTGATGAATCCCATTGTGTATTGTGTGAAAACTCGGCAGATTAGAGTGAAAGTCCTAGAAAAACTAGGTTTAAAGCCTAAATGATGGGGCAAAGGAGAATTTTCTATTTCTCTAAAGAGTCTTAGGAGCAGAACTGTGTTTCATCCAAATAGGATATGATTCCATTTACTTCATAGTCTTCAAATTGGCTTCAGTTCATTAATCATTAATACTATTAAGTAACTCATACACCATAGCTTTCCCTGCTTTTGAAGAAGAGGCTAATATTTTGTATACACTGTATGCTTCCTTTTGTTGTTGTTTTGGTGATCTATCCTCAGAGACATGAGAGAAGAGTAAGAATCCTGAGAACCTTCTAAGAAGAATCTAGGGAAAGTAGATCGAACTACGACTGGGAGAACCCTGAAGATTCTAAAACCATTTAACATGTCTATGTTTGCCTTTTATTTTTTTTGAAATCTCACTGCAATTTACATTAAACACTTTACAATATGACTGAGTTTGTATAAATATGTTCTTTACTTTGCTATTCAAAGTGTAATCCACTGACTGGCAGAAATTACTTCACCTAGAAAGTGTTTAAATTGCATATCTCATGTCTTGCTGCAATCCTGTTCAGTCACAGTCTGGATTTTTAAAAACATTTCTTCCTTTTCTCCATGAGTTAGAAAGACAGAGAGAGGGAGAGAGACAGAGAGACAGCAAGCACCACAATGCCATAATTCACTCTCAGCTTCAGCCCCAAGTCACGGGTATGCATGCACTTGGCATACTCAGGGAGGTTTCTAGACACAAACCTGGAACCTTCCCACTTGAGTCAGCCTTGCAGAGTGTCCCATTATACTGCTGTACCACCATCTGCTCCTTCCTTTGTTTAATGGTAGAAGGTACATGCACGGAGGAAGAAGGAAGGGAGAGAGAGAGAGAGAGAGAGAGAGAGAGAGAGAGAGAAAGAGAGAGAGAGAGAGAAAGCACCTTCCATATGATCTTATCACACCACAATCCACTCTACTCTGATTTCCAGCTCCTCAGGATATTGGGTGCCCATATGTGCATTTGGTGTGTTCTCAGGCTAATCTGGAGAACTGAATTCCTCATTGGCTATGTGGCTTCCTTCACTGTAGTCTAATGAGCAATAGAATATACTACTTAACTTGACCTGGCCTCTTTTTAAAATTGCGTGTATGTTGTTGTTTTAAAAGTTTTTAATCTGCATTTCAGCAAGATCTAAAGTAATTGGCATATACATCAGTGTTTGTAGGACACCTGGGAAAATATCAAAGGGAGAACTAGAGAGATTAGGTCATTCGCTAACGTAACTAGGGAGAGGGAGTTGATTTGGGGAAAGGGTGGAATGAAAGGGCTTTGGCACTTGGCAGCTTCACAGTAAACATAAGGGATGAGTGCTTGGGGCTTAATGACTGAAGGTTCACATGCATTTCTGACATTATGTGAATGTCTCTCTCATCAACTATACTGTGACATTCTACAGAGCAAGAGCTGTGGATTACTCAACCATTAAGTCACCTGACAAAAAAAGTACCTTACCCATAGTTTATGTTTAGTAGAGGTGCATGGATTTGAACTAAAATTATAGTATAAAGAAAAAGAGATATCATCTGGTAAATGGTTGACTTAAAAGGATATATAGTAAATATTAGAGAACAAATAATAATTTCAGAAATTTTGAGGAAGAGGAGACCTTGCACCAAAGCCACAAAGAACAGTCAATATGTAATAAATTCTGAGACTAGTCCCTCAGGTGTTTCTGAATGAAGATTCTTGGGTGAATCAGAGCAGTTATTATCTAAAAGTAGTTCTGTACCTTAAGGGAAGAAGTTAACATCACAGGAACTTCGAGAGCCTTTGTGAGACATAGAGATTCTTTCCTTGGATGCTGCCCTATAAATTTAGGGCAACCCATAATACTGTTGGTCAATAGTGACTCTCAAGCCACAGCACAGAATCTGCACTACTGCAGCATACACACACCTTTAATGTCTGCACCTTTCTGGACCCACCTTCCACTTCCTGTATTGTACACAGGACTAGACCAAAGAGCTAGAAAAAATAAGGGTCAGCAAGGAACCTTTAGGAGCCACTAGGTCAATGTCATTCTTATTTAGGGAACCAGGACCCAGGATTATTCCTTGACAGTAAGATATAACGTAACTCCAGACTGAGGATTTAGAAGGTAACTCAGAACAAAGAATAAGATCCATCAGAGATTACAGTCCTTTAAACTCCTCTGCTGGGATAGCTAATTCCTGCCAGGAAGGAGAAAAGATAAGTGGAGAAATAAGGACTGAGGCAGGCTCAAGTTCTCTGATCTCAGTTCTATTTCCTGGCTGTGTGTTCTTGAGGAAATTACTTTCTATGTGTCTCTTTGTTTCTATGTTTTTGTCTCTCTCTCTCGCACGCACACACACACACACATACACACACAGACGCACACATACACAATCACACACACAATCAAATTCTGGCTGTTATGATGGAAAGCTTTGTTTAGCAATTGGACTAACCCAGAGATATGGGGTTTGCAAAGATTTTTCTGTTCTGTAGTGTCATTCACTTGCTATGTTTTAACTGTCACATTTTATTTACAATTGTAATGTCCTTGCTAATACTTTCATTCCCTGTATGCTTTTAAAAAGAATGTTTTATCTAAATGTTTCAGGCAAGGTTACAAAGAAAGAGTAGTGCCCTCCACTGGCCAGTGGTAGTAATAGCAACCACTACACTTTAGAAGGATATTTATTTATTTATTTATTTAATAGAGATTGTTGCTGTAAGGCGTGTGAGCTCTCTGGAGAGATAGAGAGAGGCAGAGAGAGAGAGGAAGTGAGAAATCACTATCCAGGGGTGATGACCACACCACAATCCTTTCTCCTTCATTCTCTTCTGAGGATTTTGGACACACATGCACATGTGCCCAGTGTGATTTTTCAAGCTGCTGGGTCCAGAACAAGAACAACAGTAGGTCATGTGGGAGTCCAGTGTCTTAACCATTACACCACCTGCTGACCCTCCCTTGAAGGTTTTGACACAATTGGTGTAATTTAGCTTATGGCTAACAGAGAGTGAAAGCTAGGAGATAGTATTTGAAGACCTGCTGTGAAAGAGCATTCTCTACCCTGATTTAGCACTGTTAGAAACACGAGAAGGTTGCTAGGGTGCTGCATTTGGTTCGGTGTTTACCACTGACAGGCAGGGATCTCAGAGACCTCATCACTGTTGTTTCAAGAGGAACTGCTTCCCTATCTAGCGTTTTTAAAGGGGCAAAGACTTTTATTAAGGCAAATGTACAAATAAATGCAGTCTCCACAAATAATATTGTAGATTTGAGGTGTTCTTAATTTCTCAGCTTCAGTATCCTCATATGTGAAATGGAGACATTAAACCATGTACTTACAATAATTTAATAAGGTAATATATAACTTGCAAAGAAGCTTCTTATAATATGAGGATATCAGTATTGTGTGTTCCTGAAATGCACCCAAATAAAACATTGTTTTTTATTCTATTATTGACACTAAATAAGTTCAATTTTCTACCTTTTATTTAAAATGCATTCTTGTATAATCACAAGAAAATAAGGATGTCTCAATATAAAAAGTTTATTAGCGCATTAAAACAGACAACTATGAAGTAATGAGTGGATGCTGAAAAAGCATTTGATAAGATTAAGCAGGTAAGTCTATTGAAAATGAAGTAGATTTAATAGGTAAATTAGCTATTTAAATATTATAACATTTCCCAAAGATCTAATGGGCTATCATTTATACGTGTGTGTGTATATGTATATTTATGGATATGTATGTATATATACACACGTATAGCCATACACACATACTAGTTTATACATATATTAGTTTGAGTAGGATGTGTATGTTTGCTGGAGTCTCCTCCATTCTCCTCTTGGGACTTTGAGCACGCATGCGCATGTACCTGGTGTGGTTTTTCAAGCCTCTGGGTCTAGGACTCCAGTGGCTCCTTTGGCTATGTGAGGTCCAGTTGCCTTAACCTCTATGCCATCCACTGGCTTGAGCCAGCCGTATTTTTAATATTGAGTCATTCAAAAAGACATGACATGTTTTTCTATGTTTTTTCTGTGCAAAAGTGACTTCCCTGACAACCCAATAGGTAAAATACATCATTTACCTGAAATCAAAAGCAAGATTTGAATATTCACTTTTATTATTATCTTTCATAATTACTTTGGAGATTCCGGTGATTCACATAAAAAATAAACAGATAGTTTGTATAAAATTAGAGAATATTGATTTATATATGCTACACATTAAAAAAATTCAAACATGTAATATATGTGGCAAATTTGTAAGAAATATTAATGCAAGAGATTATTTTTGTTATAATAGCAACAAATACCACACATTCATATAATTCATATAAATAAATGTAACCTGAGTGAATAATTTCATTTAAAATATTTTAAAAGCTGATAATGAATGAAACACTTATATTCTTGGATGGAACAACTTATTATGGTTAATGTTTATTCTCTTAGATTTAATCTATAAACAGAGGGTAATTCCCTTTGGAAATACAAAGCTTCTGTTTTGTGAGAAGGTAATTCCTTTATACCAACTATTAGCTAAATCACACCATGAAGCTGCTCTAATAGATCAGTGCTAAGTCATCACCCATACAGAAGAGTTCTACCAAAAAAAAAAGACTCTACAAACATGCACATATCCTTTAAAATATAATATACATAGTATTATATTTAAGTGAGAAAAAGAGAATGCATTTAATAAGATGATTCTAGAATTAGCAGATTATCACAATTTCTTCCATTCTCCTTTTGGGATTTTGGGTGTGCACGCACACATGCCCATCATGTTTTTCAAGCCCCAGATACAGGAGTTAAATCAGCTTTAAACTCTGTACCACTGGAACACCCAAAGATACCCTTTCTAAAGTTTAATATAAATATGAAAATTATAAAGAAAAACAAAGTGGATTTGATTATATACAACTATACATGTTTGTCTGAGAGTTGGTTGCCAAATAATACTAAAGACAAATACTAGATTGGAAAGGAATAAAACTTAGATTTCTTACAGATTTATGTTTAAAATGTATGTGATCCAATAGAAAAAAAAGTGGATAAAGTTTATTTGACTAGGCTACTTATGGAAAAGAAACATATTAATCAATAGATAATTCTTACTATTAGGGAAATTCAAAATAAAGTAAAATGAGATAATTACTACTAATAAAATAAATGAATAATTCAAAAAAATAGTCAACAACCAAGTAGTCAATTTTGGTGGGGATGCAAAAGAAAGGGACTCTTTTATGAAAGAAATATGCATTAATTGAGACCAGCAGATAATGTAATGGTTATGTCTCTGGATGCCCACATAGTTGACTGCGGTTTGAGTCCTAGACCCAGTGGCTTAAAACTCATGCCAGGCATATGTGTGTGCATGTTCAAAATCCCAAGAAGGGACTGTGGCATGGCCATCTCCCTTGGAGAGGGAGTTTTCACTTTCTGTATATTCTTGGATGGAACAACTTATTATGGTTAATGTTTATTCTCTTAGATTTAATCTATAAACAGAGGGTAATTCCCTTTGGAAATACAAAGCTTCTGTTTTGTGAGAAGGTAATTCCTTTATACCAACTATTAGCTAAATCACACCATGAAGCTGCTCTAATAGATCAGTGCTAAGTCATCACCCATACAGAAGAGTTCTACCAAAAAAAAAAGACTCTACAAACATGCACATATCCTTTAAAATATAATATACATAGTATTATATTTAAGTGAGAAAAAGAGAATGCATTTAATAAGATGATTCTAGAATTAGCAGATTATCACAATTTCTTCCATTCTCCTTTTGGGATTTTGGGTGTGCACGCACACATGCCCATCATGTTTTTCAAGCCCCAGATACAGGAGTTAAATCAGCTTTAAACTCTGTACCACTGGAACACCCAAAGATACCCTTTCTAAAGTTTAATATAAATATGAAAATTATAAAGAAAAACAAAGTGGATTTGATTATATACAACTATACATGTTTGTCTGAGAGTTGGTTGCCAAATAATACTAAAGACAAATACTAGATTGGAAAGGAATAAAACTTAGATTTCTTACAGATTTATGTTTAAAATGTATGTGATCCAATAGAAAAAAAAGTGGATAAAGTTTATTTGACTAGGCTACTTATGGAAAAGAAACATATTAATCAATAGATAATTCTTACTATTAGGGAAATTCAAAATAAAGTAAAATGAGATAATTACTACTAATAAAATAAATGAATAATTCAAAAAAATAGTCAACAACCAAGTAGTCAATTTTGGTGGGGATGCAAAAGAAAGGGACTCTTTTATGAAAGAAATATGCATTAATTGAGACCAGCAGATAATGTAATGGTTATGTCTCTGGATGCCCACATAGTTGACTGCGGTTTGAGTCCTAGACCCAGTGGCTTAAAACTCATGCCAGGCATATGTGTGTGCATGTTCAAAATCCCAAGAAGGGACTGTGGCATGGCCATCTCCCTTGGAGAGGGAGTTTTCACTTTCTGTCTCTGTCTCTCCGACAAGCACACATGCCCTACAGAATAACTTCCTCTTTAAAAAAAATATACATTGATATGGGAATCTACTACTGCATATTGAAATTTTAAGTGTACAATTCTTTAAAATGAGCCGTAATAAGAGATCAGGCTTATAAAAATAATAGCACAAGTCCACATAAACAGATGTCTAAGACTGTTTATTACAGCATTGTTTGGAATGACCTAAAACTGATGACAACTCTAAGAGCCCATTAATTGAAAACACTTGAATAAAATACAGTCCACCCATAGCATGATATATTATGTAGTCATTTGCATGAATGATCACTATACCAACTGACTTAAGGGATATCCATCAAAAGGAAAGTCAGATGCAGAAAGACATAGAGAGTGGTTTTCAACTAAAGTGCTACAACCAAACAAGTCCTAATATGTGAGTATTAATGATCATACTGAGGCCCAGCTGTGGTGGCACTAGTGCTAGGGCACCACTTCATGATACTAGAGGCTCATAGGAAGCCCAGGTTCAGATACTGTGTTGACCTCGACATGCTGGGAGTGCCTTCTGTGCCCATCATCTTAGCTGACTTGGAAGCTGGGGGAAGGATTGCAGCAAGGCAAGATCCTATCAAGGGTACCTATCTCTTTCTTTAGAGAAATAAACAAGATGAAATAAACAATTGTATTGACAAAAAGAAAAAAATTAGGAAATCAACCATATTTCTAGAATGAAACTGCAATTACCTTGTGTTATTCTACTTCGACTACATAGTACCATATGGCCTTGGTTGCTTACTACTACAACATCTGTTGCAGTGGTCACTGGTCATTACACTGACAGAAGTCCTCTTGATCTAGGATGATTTGATTTGGTGACTATGTTTCAGGTCTCCAGCAGTAAGGACTTGTGCTAGGCTATGGATTTGGCTCAGCTCTGCACTATGTATCTCATTCTGGGGACCAGGTTGAAGGGACAGAACTTTCTAGAGAAGTTCTATTTATACCACAAGAAATCAAACCCCATTGCAAAATCACAGTTAAGCTCCTCCTTTTATCACATTTAATCACATCCTATTGATCAAAACAAATCCTGATGACCCCATTGACCGGAGTGTAATGTGAAGCCCAAAGTCAAAGCTAAGAGAAATCCACGCTGTCCACTCTAACCTTCATGATGTAGGTATAAATGGATAATAAATACTACTATAAGGAAGTAAAAATTTGAGGCCAGTAATTTCATAAACCATATGCAAGATTAAATGTATTTAAAACACTGTATTTATTTACTAAATGAGAGACTTACTTGTATCATCCTCATGTATTTAATCCCTAAGGATCAATCAGGACTCTTGCTTCTGATGAGGGCCCAGAACTGGTGAAAGATTCTCCATCTAGCCATGAAGAATGTTTATGTCTTCTGTATTTTGTCATATAACAAAAGACTCCTCCAGTTTCCTCTGCTATTTAGATGTAGATACAGAGGTGTGTGAAGAGGGGGGACTAGCAACAAAACAATAGTCATCAACTTCAATGGTGGTGAGAAGACCTGGATTCTGGCCTTTTCTATGCTGTTGATATATGTGTAACAGGAGATGGGTCACTTCCATTCCCTGGGGCTTGGAAACTTTCGTTGTTATACACATGTACACTTCTAGGAACAGGTACCCGTGTCCATGCATGTACCTGAATGACCATTTCACACATGATGGACTGAATTCTCAGTAAGAGAAAACTTCATATTAGGGGCCCTGTGCTACCAAATGTGGAGGGACTTCCTCACTGAGTACAACCCACCTTCCTGGGCTGCAATCTCTTGAGTATCTTCTCTCTAATCTCTTTCATCTTGACACTGTAGAGAATAGGGTTTATCAATGGAGGAAGCAGGAAGTGGATATAGGACAGAAGAGTATGGGCTTGCTGTGGGATTGGCAACTTCAGACGAGTAATGAGGGCCAAGAAAATCATAGGTATGTAGAAGAGGAGTACAGCAGAAAGGTGAGCGGCACAGGTTTGACCAGCCTTCCAGCGATCCTCACTGGATCCCACCCCTTTCAACACCCTGACTATTAGGCCATAGGAAAAGAAAATGAGCAGGGGATCTAATCCCATGGCTGACAAGACCACAAAGAGGCTGTAGCCTGCACCCCAAGCTCCTGGGCAGGCCAGACGGGCCATATCTGGATGCAGGCAATAAGAATGGGTTAAGATCTGTGGGTGACAGTAGGGCATGTGGGCCAGGAGGAATGGCAGGGGCAGATGAAGACCCAGGCACCGGAAAGCAATAGCTAGGCCTATCTTGCTAATGGCACCATTCGTGAGGAGTGCTGAGTAGCGGAGAGGGCGGCAGATGGCCAGTGTCCGATCGAAGGCCATGGCAAGCAAAACAGAGGACTCCATGACAGAAAAAATATGGACAAAGAACATCTGCAGGAGACAGGCTGAGGCAGGGACAGCGTGAGCATCAGCAAGAGCAAGACCTAGCAGGGTGGGCATCAGGGATGTGGCCAAACCAACGTCAGACACACTGAGCAGGAAGAGGAAGAAGTGCATTGGGCGGTGCAGGGTGGGCTCCAAGGCAATAATCCAGAGGATGATACCATTGCCCAGGGCAGAGAAAAGGTAGACAGTGATGAGGAGTATCGTCCACCAGGAGGGAGTAGCTGACAGGCCTGGCATGCCCACCAGCAGGAAGGTGGGGGCCATTGAGGTGCTGCTGTTGGAAGCTGCCAGGGTGGGGAGTGCTGACATGGTTCAAGATCCCACTTAGAACTCTGGAACCTGAAAACTAATTAGAGAGATTGTCTTAATCCTGTGACATGATCTTTTCTGAAACAGACCTGCCTCACCTCTCTTGCCCATGCAAACATACACATACACACGCAGGGAAAATTACGTTTGTATCCTGAAAAGATGTATGTGAGTATATGTAAATTTTTAAAATGTAAAAAAATTAATAAATGGATATAAAAATGGAAAAATAATTGAAAAGTTATTTACCAGTTAAAAGAAAAGTATTTTTTTTAAAGGTACATCTAGTAAAATCTGTTTTGAATTATTTGAATTTAAGATGTATAGAACAGCCAAATAAAGATGTACAGGGTGAGATAAATATAAAATGGTTTGAGGGATATGATTTATCAGTTTATAGAGTTTAGGTGAAGTCAAGAGAGTAGATAAGACTATTGATAAAAAAAGAAGAGGGTCAGGTAAAGATATTTAGCAATTTCAATATCCTAATCTCAACATTTGATTAAAAATTAGACAGAAAAATCAGCAAGGAAATGGAAGTCTTGAAAAACATTATGAACCCTAAATTACATTTATAGAATATTCTACACAACATCACAAGACTACAAATTCTTATCAAACACACACGGGATGTTCTATATGACAAACTATAGGCTTGAAGAGAAAAAAAATTAATAAATTTAAATTATTTAAATCATACAAAGTATATTTGGCCAAATGGAATTAAATTAGAGATCCAAAGCAAGAAATATGAGTTTCAAACCACAACGAAATAGTGAAAAAGAAATAATGTACAAAAATATTATAAAATTTATGTACTGAAAACAATGTTGAGGAATTAAAGAACCTCTAAATATTGGAGAGATGTTCCTTAGTAGTAGATTGGAAAACTCAATGTAATTAAATTATCAATTATTCCTAAATTAATCTGTACTTTAAACAATATTCCTAACAAAAAGCCAGCAAGCCTTTCTATAGAAATTGACAAGCTTATTCTAATGCTAGGATAAAACACAAGAACCTTTTTATTATCAAGACAGAAATGGTTATCTAAAACTAGATACAACATATTCTAACCATAAATGGAAATATAAGTAAATGTGATAATGTCTAAAGTAAAACATCAAATGTGATTATAGGTGCCATACAATAAGGCTAAATATAAGGAGCAGAATGAAACAGAATGTTGCAGAACAGGGCAATGTTTGTGGTCTAGTTGACTGGTAAATGTTCGGAATTTGAAATACTAACAAATAAACAGATAGATAGATAGAGATGTAAATTAACTATAAGCATTTTTAAAAGAAAATTCTGAATATATATGTCCTAAAATATAAAGTTATACATGTAAGTCTAATCATTTCCAAACTGAAAAGGGAAAATAAATACAACAAAGACCATCAATCCAACAGAGGAATACCAAGAGGATTACTAAAAAGTAGATATTTATTTCTGGCATGATGGAATGAGGAGGCTGATAAATTCTCTTCCACCAAAGTAGCTATACAGTGGGAAATAGGATCCATTTCAGTAATATGGAAATACACACACACATACACACACACACACACACACACGCCCACACACATTTATTTATTCATATATGTAAATAAAACTGCAGGCTAGGTGCAGTGGTAAGTGCCCATAATTCAACTTACTTGGAAGACTGAGGCAGGGAGATCATGAGGTTGAGACCAACGTTGTCTCTGGACAAAAAAAAAAGAAGGAAAGAGACAAACTCCCATCTCCTCATATACCGACATAGTTATCAAGATTCACAAACATGACCTCAATATGTGGCACATCTATATTTCTTATTTATACCCATAAGAAATGTGAGAGATCATATACATGATCATCATACTTACTATTAAGTCATTCGAATTTGACTTAAAATATGACAGATTGCTCCAATACAAGTTAATCTTCCACTTGATAATGTGATTTAAAAAATATGGATACATAATTATCTCCAGAAGACATTTACAAATACAGAATGACATTTTTGGGGAGAGGACAGAAGTTTTATTCATTTCCATATTAGTTCCCTGTCATCTGAAAGATAAACAGCTGAGATGACTAAAGATACAAAACACAGGGTATTTAATTATAAGGGAGATTTGCTGCAGGTGTAATGGAGTGATCTAAGCAGCCACACTGAGTGGGAATATATGAACAAATCTGTTCACTTTACATTTGTGTCCAGACCTAGTTCTGACTATTAGGACCCTTGGAAACATTATCCCTGTTATTTACCAATCAGTATTGAAGAAAACATGCCAGATATGGTGTTTGGTAGCAAATGAATGCTGCAGTATTTGAATGACTTCAGAATGTGATTAAATGAGAAAATGCATAGTTTCAACTCCTCAGGAGTCAGGCCACAGATGAGAGACTGGGGTAGGAAGAAATGGCTAAGAGAGTGGACTTGTTTCTAAGACAATGATTGGAGATCAACATCTTGAGAGAACCCCATTTATCTCCACGTTAACTCTGGATGTATTAAGAGAGTTTCGGTGTGGAGCACCAAGCAATCTGCTGGAGACAGGGGGTACATTATCTAACAAAGTAAGAGATCAAATCAGACACATAAAATATGGATAGGACAAAATACTTATGCATATAAGGGCATAAAAATAACGACAACAAAAACCAGCATAGCATCTGAGGCTGAGAACTAAAATAACCTAGGGAAGAGAAATAATTAGGTAAGTTACAAGTTCTAAATTTACATAATTTCCCACATTTGAAGACTCAGATCTTTGTAGGTATTTGGACTATCAAGGAACAGTCAATTCTGCTGGTTCTTGTATCCAGATTATTTGTCATGCTCTGTCTTAACGGAGGACTCTCCCTGAATTCAGGTTTTCCCTGACAATGCAGGGACAAGGACCCCAACAAAACATCACTGAAGCAAGGAAGGTAAAAAAGTCAACCCACAGAGAAGGAACAATATCACCGTGGAATTTTTAACGTTCTCAAATTCCTGCAGTCTGAAGTTTTGGCCACCAAGAAGTGTAGAATTATACCATACAATTTTGGAATATTTTTTAGTGATAAGTTTGGTCAGCAAAGTTTGCTCCAAGTGACTTCCAAGTTCTAAAGTAGGGTATTAAGTTTTAGAGTCCTTTAGCTCTAGTTTTCCTTTTGTTCAGTCTTAGACTTTTACCCAATTCCAAAGACTGACTGCTGCTTCATAACCCTTGCCTTTGTACCTGCAGTTGTATCTGCTATTGTTCCATTTTCCATCTCAGGAACCAATTTACCTTTCCTGGAGCTCATATATGACCAGCTTTCATAGACCATTTGATATATATCTCCTTTTCAAACAAATCACTTCCTATTCTACTACTTTTATATGACCACTGCACATCCCTACAGCATAAACTAGCACGATATTTTAACTATTTTCATGCCTTCCTACACTATGAACCACTTGAAGGTGAAGACTATCTTTTCTATTATTTATTTCTATAACAACAGCATCTGTCCATTACACATGAAAAAAATCATTGAATTCCATGAGCAGTTTTGAAGAAATTGCTTTAAAAAAAATTTGTTCATTGCACAGATTCAGAACTTCTTATCTCCTCATCTTTTGCAAAGGCCATAATCCTTTTCTAGTCTCTCCACTTGCCCGATTCTGATCTCTCAGTCCCTATTTCTCAACTTTTTAAACATTGAAATAACTTCCTGTGAAGGGACAATTCTCTCCCTGTCTCCTTTCGCTCTCCCTAGCCTCAGAGACAGGAACTTCCACACCTACTCTAGTCTCTTCTCTTTCTTGTTTTATCTTCCCACTTTCTACTCTCTCATTTGTTATCACTCTCACCTCAGTCTGACCATTCCCAAACCTGCTTCTCCCTTTGTGCAGTTCACTCACCACACCTGGTTTCTCCCAGAAAGTCTCACATACTTTGTTGTAGTGGACTGCATCAGCTGTATGCTTTATGTTACTTTGGTTGTGCCACTTCTCGGGGAGTGGGTGAGTGTAGGGTCCAGGACAGGTGAGCACAGGTGTCCAGCCTCTCATTGTCAGAGTCCCAGGGGGAGCCTCAGTGAGAATGCATGGTTAGTTAAGGGCCTATTGTTCTGCCCAGAGGAAGAACCATGATGACTTTGGAAGTGCAGCAGGACTGGAAGAATCCCTCTATGCCTGGCATCCAGACCTGTTCTCATGGTCCATGAAGCAGGCCCCCTCCACCTCTCAGTAGTTTGGTGTTCACACACCCCAGGGACCCTGATGCCTTGTCTTACATGTCCTGACCTGTGTGCTGTTTGACCACTACCACAAACCCTTCTAACCTTTTCTTCAGAGTAGATAATGAGCCCCAGAGAGTGCCCCAGGCTAAGTCTTTAGGGACTTTGTTGCTTATCTTTGTTTTGACTAATTGCCATTAGCAGTGTGATAGCACATGGTGCTAATAGCACTAAGGTCACAGGGATCACTTAGTCACTTTTTGAATCTTCAAGATAAGGCCTAGATCAACTCAAAGTTAGCTGAACAACCAGAGGAGTTCTTATCATTGTTAAGGTTCAATCTTTTTTTTTTTTTTTTAAAGGTTTTTGCCATAGGTTGCATGTACAGGAGTGAGACAGAAAGAGATAGTGAGAGGGAAAGTGACAAATCACCCCCTCACCCGTGGGGATGGCCATACTGCTGATTCTCCTCCTGGGATTTTGGACAACCATGCACATGCTCCTAGAGTGATTTTCAAGCTTGCAGGTCCACAACTCAAACCACAGTCCCCTCAGCTCTGTCTATATGTAGATTGTTGAATGTAAAGTCAAATCTCTGCAAGACATCAGCTACCTCAGTTGGACCCCCACACTCCTCTAGCCCAGTAATTTTGATTCCCTTTTTTTCTCTCTCTCTTTCAGTTGGCAATTCCTTGTTTTCCTTGCCTCTTTTTGTTCTCAGTAGATGCCCTGCTTTTTGATGGATTATGTATTACGAGATGCCCCTACTCTCCATTTCAGCTTGTGGCTTTTCTGTCACA